TCCTGTGACTGCCCGCATGGACCACGTTTGGCACTACGATGAAGAATATCTCCCAGATGCTTCAAAGCCTGTGTCAGCTAGTTCTCCAGAACATGCTGACGGTGTTATTAGCAATGGATTTGTAGCTGTCAACTTAAGCTCCTGCAGGCAGGAGGTTGACTCCAAGGAATGGGTGATAATAGATAAGGAACGGGACTTGCGGGACTTCAGGATAAATGAGGCTTTAGGGCACAAAACAACTGGAAGTCCCTCAGATGAAGAGCCAGAGGTACTACAAGTTCTAGAGGAGTCCCCTCCAGAAGACCAGCCCAGACAGGGTGGTGGGGCAGGAAACGGCGTCCATGCCAAGAATCAGACCTCTGAGGTGGGGTTTGTTCTAGCCATGGAGTGTCATCCTGCTGTTTCTGAACAGCTTACAGATAAATTGGAACTTCTGTCTGGAGCTGCTGGACAGCTTCTTGCAGCCACCCCTACAAGTCCTATGGAAGCTCAAGCGGAAGGAGCACTCACTCCGGTAAGAGAAATGGTTGGTGTTTTATTGAACCTCTTATTTGTGCAGAATTATATGAGGAGATACTAAGGGAAAAGGCAGGGACTAAAATACAGTAGCATAGCAGAAATTCCTAGTTTGATCAGGTGTGGGACTTGATTCTTGAGGAGTGATCTTGCATGTTCTGTGAGTGTTTACATTCTCCCATAGAAGTGGCTATTAGTTCTGCAGGTATGATCCACAGAACTCACCTTAAAAAAACCCCAAAACAAATACATGTATATATATTTCATACACACACATACATATAAGATCCTTATGCAGTGATTCCTAATCAGTGAGAGATACACATGAAAATATATATTTATTATATTTGCAGTATGTAAACATAGAATTACAATGAATGTGTAAATACTGTGCTACAGTGTTTCATGTGTTTCAAGGAAAGCCTAAAGAGCTGAAATTAAAGAGCCAGAGTTACTCGCTCCTCTCACCAAAATTCTTCTGGAATTCCCTTTGTTACTTCCTGTTTCTTCTGAATTTTCTAATGATTTTTATAGCTGGTTGCCTTTTATAAATTGTTGCTACTTCTCACTTCTAAGATAATTTTGCAACTGTTGCTTTGCTCCCAAGGTTTTCTCTTCACTAAGACAGATGGCTTTGCTTCACTGCATCCTCTTTTGGTGTTTCTCCATCTTTTCTAAAGAAAAATCTCATTTGCACGGTTTCTGAATGTTTACTTGTTTCTTCTCTGTCAGTGATTCTAAACAAAGACTTCTTTGACTTTACTTAAGGAGGAAGTGAGATTAGTGGTTAAGTGATTGGAAATCAGCTCCTGGTTTTATTTCTAACCTTTTATCAGTAGATCTTGTGTCACCTATGATATGAAGGACAATTCTTTCAAGCTTCTTTGAGCCAAGAAACCTGGCTGTACTTCTCCCTCACTTACCACCACTTCTCGTGAAAGTTACAGCCAGCTCATTATAAAAAGAACTTGCCACCAACCACTCATTTATTATAAGGCGTGGAAGATCCTTTATGGTGAGAATGAACCACTCAGTGTAATTAACTATAGCTGTAGAGTAAAATTTTAAATACACCTAGGTTTCCATAGAAAATACAAGATCATACGTCTTGTAAAAGATTTTATTTAGATATCATACTTTGTGAATTATGTAGTTTATAGAAGATTCGTTTTACATGATTCAAAATGCAGAACTGTGTTCAACAACAGAAAATTGTTGAGATTTCAAGTTGAAATATTAGTTGTGTGGAAGAGTTTTTGGTGCCTTAGAGACTTGTAAGGGTGAAAAATTAATTTAAATGGCTCAGTTGTTTTCAGTTGTTCAATATTTTTAATATTTTAATGTTAGTTTTAGTAAAATGGACAAGAAAGAGCAACACTTAGCCCTGTACAAAATAATAATTATCAGGTGTTTTTATTTTGAAAGCCATTAAAAACCAGCTTGTAATTTTGTGTGCAATTGCACTATCCCACTTTATACAAACTTGGCTTTTCTGAGGAAAGAACTATTTTACCTAAAACTGTAAGTAGAGGTGTTATAAATATCATGTGCTACCATGCAAATAATGGACAATATCTTTATCTGGAAGGGAAAAAGCTTCCGAGCACAGAAGCAGAAATAGTTATAAACAAGGTTGATTAATTATAAGATGTATTGAAAGCAACAGTGGTTGAAGTAGACACTGAGATGAGATGATATTTTAGTTTAGCTTTGAAAGCAGATAAGGGATATTTGTCATAACCTCAAAAATTAGGGAGGTGAATATAGTTTATATTATCCTGGAAGGGCAAGTAGTGCTGTGAGGGCAAGATGAACGGCAGGAAGGAACTTGTTGTTGTGAAGGTGAATCATGTGGGACTGAAAATATAAACTGAACTGGGAATAATGAAACTAGAAATTATTTGGCTGATTTAGCAACTGGGAACAGTGTGTGTCTGTGCAGTGTGTCTATTCCATTTGTGATGACAGTTTGTGGCAGTCTTCCCTCTACTTATTAGCCCTTGAAAGCCAAACAAAGCCCAGCAGGGTATTTGCGGGTGGGTTGCTCTTTCTGTCCTTCATTGATGGTATTCCACTTCATACAAGATACTTAAATATTCCTTGAGCTGGGTACCAGAACCTAGCTGTTCTTGTAGGTGAGTGCCCTGGTCACATCACAGTATGCACAGTATATACGTTCCTCTTCAGACAGTAGTTCTCTCTATTCCAGAGTCTGGTGACCGTAGGGAGCTGTTGGGTAGAGTCCATTCTTCCTGAAAGCATTTACCCACGTGAAACTGTTCTTTGAATGTGATCCTGGTTTGTGGATCAGGTGTTCTTGTTCTTTAGTAATTTTATCTAGGTGGTGCCTTCCTGACAGTGCAAATAATGGGCGAAATGATACTTTACTTTTCCGCTGATGTAATTATATTGCATCAGTTACTAAGAGCAGGCTTGGATCCAAGAATGTAAGTTTAAGACCATAAGTAAGTAAGACTATAAGTAAGTAATCAAATTACTTACATGTTACTAAAAGGGGTTAAAAACAGAAGTTCAAATTATAGTAGTAGAACAGCTTAATATAATTTCTGAAAGAGTTTACTGATTTCAAACAGCTTGAAACTCTAGGGCATGTCAGCATTCATGGTCATCGTGCTTATGAATGTACCTCCCGTATGGATTTCTAGTGACCTGCTTTGGTATCATTTAGGACAGAGTACGATGAATTAGCTTTTTGAGCTTATTCTGCTAGGTTTGTTAAATATGCAAGCAATTATTTCAGTGGTGAATGAATAAAATAGCTTTTCTCTTTTATGTATTCTTTTTATTTTTCGTTTTTATTTTGATTCTTCTTTATTCTCTCTCTATTTCTTTCAGGGCTTTATTGCTCACTATTTAAGTAGTAAGTAGTAGTAAGGATGTTACTATATGGGAAACTAAAGGTTCACATACTTGTCCATAGTTTTATTTCCTCCTGAAGGAAAGAGATTGCTGGTCTGCAGTCCTTCCATGTGTAGGTAGATGTTCTTCCTGAAATTGTGTGTGTACATGGACTCCTGTAATTGATGACAATGTAATTTCTGACCTGTTTCACACAGCATTAGTATTCTCATAAAAATGTAAAGTTGTCACAACTTGGGAAGGAAATGTGAACTCAAAATATAAGAGAAAAATGTGTATGTTGTTGGCTTGGGGATGAGCAAATCTCTGGCATTAAAAAATTACAGCAAATCATGCTATCTATTATGAAAAAACCTGCAGGTAAGAAAACCAATTTTCATGTTATCAGTCATGGTTTTCCATGTGCTACCAGCAAATACCAGTTTGATGTGGCTCAGTCATGGGCACATGGTCACATTTCTGTTGAACTGTTCAGACCTTATAGGGCATATACGCTGGCTTTATACTTTCATGATGGCTTTATGTTGACTTTGGCTGCAGGAGGAGAGGCAGTACTTGATTTGCTGTAATATCTGCTGGAATTAAGTTAATCTGTCAAAGAATTTGAACTGATCTGGATTAACGGTGAATTTATACTGGAGCAGCAGTTTGCATTATCCAGCTCTAGTTTTCTTCTCCTTCATCTGATCCTAAGAGCCTAAAGCTGGGCTTGTTGTGTTGTTGAACCACGGCCTCATTAATTTACTGTGATTGTATTGAATTGGAGTGAGCTCCATACAGAGCATACATAAAACTTTGCAATATATATTTGTCAAGCAGATACTTCAGCAAAGAAAGAAGAACAGAGTGGAAGTAATGCAATACGTCACAGCTAATTCCATTTTCATCTTCACTTTAATTTAAACAACAGTTTGCTTGGTCACACTTGGTTGACAGCCTAATACCACATGTATGTAGATATGTATGTGCGTGATTGTAGAAGAGGTTTGGCTGCGTGAATCTCTTGTTTGTATCATGTAGAAATCTTGCTGAAATTAGCATTTTGTGTCTTGAGGTACTAATGTATTTTTTTCCGTATCTCTGCTCTTCGTGGTTTTGTCTAAATATACTTGGAACAAAGAACTGCAAACTGTATATAGCAATCTCATTTACAGGTATTTAGATATGTCACCATCAGATATTTATTCAGCGCTGGAAAAGAGCTTTGCAAAGTATCGGTTGACTTCAGAGTTGTATGTCAAAGCTATAGGTTTATTAGAATCATCAGTAACCAGTTTGAAAATGTGCTTTCTCTAAAATTATTTGTTTGACTTTACAGTTTCTGTTCTTTTTCAAAATTTGTTTTATTTTCCTTGCTCTTTTCTAAATGCTTGAGTAGTTCAAGATGAAGCAGTTGTTCATAGGTTCTCCAGGCCGGTGTATCCTTCTAGCCCAATCCCATATTTGGGCAATTTCATCCAAATTGCATAGTACTAATCTTACTGATTAGCCTTGTCTGCTATGGTTGTAATACACACTGCTATAGCCGTAGTTGTACAGTCACATTTGTAAAGCCAGCAGTGGGTGTATATGCTAAAAATATGGTCACCTCGGAAAACAGTGTTGTTGCACAGATGTGCTAAGTATTTGCAAGGACCAGTCAACACTCAGCTAGTTTGTGTACGCTATGTTCTTGGAACAGGCTGTGTTCAGTTATTAAATTTGCCCTGATTGTTACTGACTGACTGAGTAAAGGTAGGAGTCAGCTAGAGAAAGGATGCTCACTAGTTTTTTAAAGACTAATGGAAAATGTGAAGATTGGAGTTAAGATACCTCTGAAATGATCAGCTTTTAGCCTGGGAGGGAATTATGAAGATGGCTGTTTAATAGATTTAAGAAAATGCATATAGGCAAGACACAAACAAGAACTATTAAAGTATTGATTTTTAAACCTTATTTTCTTCCCCGCCATGTTGTTCTCACAGCTCAACTCATCTCATATGCTGCATTTCTCCACTCCAAGAATTTCAAGTCCCATACTCCGCACCATGAGCCCTATAGCCTATCTATCCATCCACTCGGACGCTCTGAAAGAGGCTGGTTTACCAAGGAGTCAATCGGCTGAGAGCCACTCCTCCT